TTTTATTCTTTTTTAATTAATGTGAAGGTATTTAATATAGTTATTTTATTATTTAAAATCAATAACAAAAATAAAAGTATATATTAATATAAAAAATTATTTTTTTAATATATGTAAAACAGTTTAAAGTGTTTTGCGGGGAAAGGAGTATATCAGAACGTTAGGATCCGAACAAAGCAAAGAGAGATCTATGAAATGGGTGACAAAATGGTTCAACTGATTGTGACCTTAACGGTCAGCGGCAGTGCAAGATTCATGCTTGAAAAGAATTATTATTAAAAACCAGATTCAGAAGTTGACACCCCTTTCCGTCGCAATCGACACCACCAGCAGGACCTCTGTCGACAATTAAGTCAACGTGGAATCAGATCTGCGACGATTTGCAAGGAGGGAAGATTAATGAAAGAACCAGATCTGTGACGATTTGTGACGTTGAGCCATCTAAAAATGCCATTGGGGCACGATCTGTGATGATTTGTGAGGAGGGAGGATTGATGAGAAGGGAAGGAAGAAATGGTTAACGGGAGGGGAAAAGGCTATTTTAGTCTTTTTAATCCATGTTAATATTAAATTAAATATAAAGAATAAATTCATTTTTACCATTCATGATACCGTACCAAACAAGGTCATGTGAACATTTGACATATTTAGTTCATATTAATTATCTAACCAGATCTTCTTTTGTCGTTCTCCCTGTGCTCTTTGCCTCTTTCCCATACACAGTTGACAATTCTGTTAGTATCAATTTTGCATGCTTATGAAAATATGGATCGTCTATTCGAAAAATTCAGCATGCTTGTGTTTTATTTTTTAAAGAAATTGTTAATATTCATTCATTTATTCATATAAGGAAAAACATAATCTTTAATCTTTATAGTTTTATTAAATTTTGCTTTTAATCCATTTAGTTTTTTCAGTGTTTTTAATCCCTATAATTTCATTTAATTCGAATAATTCAATTTAATGTCATAATTTTTATATATTAATTATCTAAATATACTCTAAATAATTCAGATTCAATATAAAATTTTTATTTGTAAGGCCTAAATTTAATTTTTTATTTCATATTTATTAAAATAAAAATTATTAAAAATTTTAATATTAAATTTGCTTTATTCAGAGCATATCTATATATTCAGTTTATAAAAATTATAATATTAAATTAAACTATTTAGAGCCTCAAATTGAATCATTACTATTCAGATTGATTATAAATATATTTATCAAAAAATTTATAAATTTTATTTTTATAAAATTAAAACTAAAATTAAAAAAAAATATGAACCATCTAAATGCCCAAATCTTTTTTGGGTGATGGGCACAGCGACACTCAGCAAGCCGAAACCGGATTCACTTTTTACTAGTTGTGTAGAGTTTCAGACTTTCTTTGGCACCAACTCAACATTGTTGAACCCTGTCTTTGACCAATGATTAGGAAATAAATAATCAGATAACAATGCATTCCACGTCGAAACTTTCTGACATTTAATTCAAGTAGTTGACGCTTACACCTATTCAATCAACTTTTATATTCTCTCCCAAATTATAAAAAAAGTTAAAAAATTTTATTATATCAAAATATAAAATAATTTAATAAAAATAAAATTTTATTAATGATATTTTTTAATATTATCCTTTAAATAAGACAGAATTAAAATAATTACATACTTAAAATTATATTAAATTAAAGATATTTTTAAAATTTTATATTTTTATTTTAAAAATAAATTTATAAAGTATCATTATTGAACTTTATAAGTATGCATAATTTTATATCAAATTGCCTTATAATTTATGATGTAGGGAGTAGTTTTTTTTTATAAGCCATTTAACTTTTATAGTTTTGTTATTTAGTTACTCTCTATTTTCAAATATAAAAGAAAACAATCAATTCATACAATTTAAGAAAATTAGTTAAGTATAATAACTATGCCTAAAATTAAAAAATTGGACTAAGTTATCCTTGTAATTAATAAAACAAGTTTCTCCAGTAAAAATAAATATTAATTATACGAAAGACAATTTGAGAGAAATATAATAAATGTTTCTTAAAAATTTATAATTTTGTTTATAAATAAAAACAAAGATATACATAATATTTTGTTAATATTTCAAAACATAAGGAGCATGCGGTTGATTGCGTAAGGGTATTTTTATCTTTTATTTAAGCCCCAGTTGGTTCATATCGTTTCGCAGATTTATTGCCATCCTTTTCCCCCTCCAACGACCCTTCTAGTGAATAACTTTCCCCAGCATTCATGCAAGTCGGCTCATGAAATTTCACCAAGGTTGACCAGAACGTACAATTAATTCTAAAAGTTCTTACATGAGAACAAAAAAATTATGGGTGAAGTCCCTGGTGTTCAAGCTATACTCATCTGATTTTATTTATAAATTATTTTTAATATAATTTATTTTAATTAACAAATTTTAAAATTTATTAACTTTTTTTAAGAATTTAGTTATTTATCAACTCTACTTTTATTAAATATACTTATTTTATATTTTTTTTAACATTTAATGGAGGGCAAGTGAAAAAATTTATAATGAAAATTTAGTGAAATGACTTATAAATACAACAAATTATTTTACCTCTTTGCCACATAAATATGATCAGAAAGAGTATTGGTTGTAGAGCAAAGCTTAGCTAACTTTATAGTTCCTAATGAATAATAGTTAATCTTGTTAAACTTATAATAAAAATATTGGGTTAAAGACTCCTCCCTTCATTTAAAAATATAAGGCAATTTTAATAAAATTTTACCCTCAATAAAGTAAATACTTAATTTTAAATTAATCTTATCTTTTTATATTTATCTCCATTAAACACCCTACAATAAATATAAAGTCATTAATTAATAAGGACACTCTTAAACAAAGGCAATAATTACACCTCAAAAGACTAAAAATGACTTACATTTTTTAACATCCAACTCTTAAAAAAATATTTTAAGTTTTTGAATGAAGATAGTATATTTTTTTCCTAAACCTTTTTTAGGAATGTTAGGTACATTATATTGGATGGTGGAGCAATATACCTTCAACCAATTTTTTTCAATAGCAAAATCACACATTTGTTAGAAATCATTTATCTTCTTCAATACTTGTTAACATGAAATAGTTGTGGGATCTATACACAGTAACAATAAGGCATTTTAATATGCTTTGACCCTTTGACGCAAGTCAAAGAAGCTAGAAGTAGCAATGATAGTGATAAAAAATGAGCTTGATTTTAATGACAACATGATAGTATAATGCGTAAAAGTGCCTTACTATTATTATGCATAGATCGTACAATTATTTTATGCTAATAGATAATGAAGAAGATAATAAGTCTCTAATAAAAATACAACTTTATTCCTAAAAAAATTATCTAAGGAAATATTGCGTCATGCTTCAATACAAGTTGCCCATCATTCATAAAAAAGTTTAAAAGAAAAATAGTCTTTAATCCAAAAATATTTCACTTTTGTATGCAAAATATTTCACTTTTATTGAAATTATTAACTACAATAAAATTCGTTTAAAATTTAAAAATCTATTGGCAAATTGATGCAATTAGAGAAAGATAATATTAAAAAATAACTGCTACGTATTTAAAATATTCAAATGAAAATGAATATAATGGCAACTTTAATGAATTTTAATTGAGAATTGCGAATTACCTAATCTTTATCTCTCTCCATTAGTCGATTGTTTTTTTTTTTTTCCACCAGCAAATTCTCCATTAGTCCTTTTAGAAAAAGAGAAATCACATTTGTTAATTGTATTAGGATAATTCTTTTCATATATCTCATATATCATATCATTCATACTCTATTTCAATAAAAAACAAATTATATTATATGACTATAATTTTAAATTAATTTTACTATCGATGAAGATATAAAGAGAAATATAAAAAAATTAAATAGATACTTTATTTTAAAAATAAAATTATAAAAAATAATAACATATGAAATTTTATTTAACAGAACCGATATAATTTTATTAGGCAGAAGATGGATCACATCTACAAGAATTTCACCTGGAATTAATAACAGTATTTATCCATGAAACTGGCGTAATCAATGAAATGGAACTGTGTCAGCCGAAGAATATTTATATTCGGTTAATGTTTCGTTCCTATCTTCTTTGGATAAACATGCAGTAACTGTGGGAGGATATGCTTTAAAAGCGAAACAACTTATCTATGGGCCAAACAAATAGAGAATATTTCAATGATTCTAAATTCTCAAAATTAATTCGATTTCAATTTCCACGTCTGCTCGTGGTTGCAATAAAACCAACATCGTTTACAAAATACTCTCAGGTAAAAATAAAAAAAAACGATTGAATTACTTTGAGATTCCTAACATTGAAATTGATTTGCAGATTGTGTAATGGTCAGAATTCAGTAGAATAATAAATAACAGGACAGGAATGAACAATTTGGAATAGTTCGGAGGCATGAGAAGCTCCTCTTGACTCTTCAGTCTCACCATCAAATCCAACCAGTGTCCAATTCTATAGCCCGTTGACTTTGACTATTTACAACCAAGGGAGGTTAATATTTTACCCTCACCAATGATGAATATACATAATCCATTTCAAACTATAAATAATAATAAATGTCAAAGCATCATAGATGTATAATTTTATTAACCTATTAAAATTTATTAATATATAAATATAAAAATTTTATATTTATCTATTTCCATCAAAATTTGATAAAATTTCAAATATAAAATGAAAATCAAGGTTTAAAAAATGATAATTTATCATTCATAATTATTTAATATTATCGATGAAATTAAATAAGTAATATGACTGAATATTTCTTCTAAACGCAATCCCGGGATCCCACCCAACCAAACCCAAACCCGCTCTTCGTGAAGCGGCGTGAATCCTCATATCCGACCCAACAATAAGCCACGTGTCCTATACGGCTGCTTTTTTCTACCAGCCTGTTATTTTATGATCTCCCACCCTTCCTAACCCTAGTCTAAGCTATATATATCCGCACCTCTCACTCCGCATCCTTCTCTTCTTTCTCTCTCCATTTCAATCACCCCCACTCTTTCTGCGTTACTCTGTCCTTCAATTTTCTATTTCATCGAAGGAGCTTGCAGTTGAGGAACCTTGATTCGAAGCCCTAACCTCAACCAACAGAATTTGAGTCTGTTAATGTGATTTATTCTCTTCTTGTATGAGTGTTTTTGCACTCGCGTGTTTACATTCCCCCCTCAAACTTTTAGAGAAGTTCGATCAATGGCGGAAAGGAGATTCCGGATAGGATATGCGCTCGCACACAAGAAGCGACAGAGCTTTATACAAAACTCATTGGTGACCCTCGCTGAATCTCGCGGCATAGACCTCGTTCGGGTCGATGCGGACCGGCCGCTGGTGGATCAGGGCCCCTTCGATTGTGTTCTTCACAAATTGTACGGCGATGATTGGAAGGCTCAGCTGCGGGATTTTGTGAGGAAATACCCAAATGCGGTCATCCTCGACTCGCCTGACGCGATTGAGAGACTGCACAATCGGATTTCCATGCTACAGGTGGTGTCGGAGTTGAAGATTGAGGACCAGAATGAGACCTTCGGGATTCCTAAGCAGATTGTCATATATGACAAGGAAACTCTCCTCGATCGGCTTGCGTGGGAGAGTTTGAAGTTTCCAGTAATTGCGAAGCCTTTGGTGGCAGATGGGAGCGCCAAATCGCATAAAATGGCGCTTGTTTATAACCACGATGCCTTGAACAAGCTGAAGCCGCCGATTGTATTGCAGGAGTTTGTGAACCATGGCGGTGTCATTTTTAAGGTGTACGTGGTTGGCAATTATGTAAGATGCGTCAAGAGGAAGTCTTTGCCAGATGTTGAGGATAAGCTAGATTTTTCAAAGGACTTGTTGTCGTTCTCTCAGATTTCCAATTTAGCCGCCAACGAGAGGATTGATGATAAGTATTACGAGATGATGCATCTGGGTGACACAGAGATGCCCCCGCAGAGCTTCATTAACGAAATAGCTCGAGGCTTAAGGCATGCGTTGAAGTTGAATCTTTTTAACTTTGATGTGATTCGAGACTCGAGATTTGGAAATCGGTACCTTATAATTGACATTAATTACTTCCCGGGGTATGCTAAAATGCCGAATTTCGAGTCTATAGTGACAGACTTCTTGTATGATACAATGTACAAGAAACAGAAAGAACAAATGCTGAAGGGTCCGGATGAAAAAGTCTGCTCGGAGATTACTGTTTTGGATCAGTGTCAGAAGCATAGTTATGGCGAAGATAAGAGAAAGGTTATAAGCAACACTTGTAGTGACGAGGATGAGGGAAGCCTTCAAGTTTCACCTTTCAACATGGAGGAGAAAGAGAATTCAGTTCAAGTCTGATAATCATGTCAAACACTGTGTATCTCATTCTATCATCATCATTTGTTGGTGGTTTTGGGCAACCAGAATTTGCTCAATGGACCCATGCGCCAATTTGTGGATAGACGGGAGCTGCACATTCTGTTTAGATAGCCATTGGTACAGTGGTGAAATCAGTTGGTTGTTTGTGCCTAGTTTAACCCCTTAACATGTATATTCCACCCGCCATTTCTCTGGAGATAGGTACTTCTCGATTACCCTGAAGGTTTAGGAAAGTTGTACTTTGCGGCTCAATTTGCAAAAAAAATCTGTTTTACTTACTTCCTTTGCTTTTTAATTAGATGATTTAGGATTTAATTACTATTTTGTCAATATTACCGTCATTTAGGTTTCTGCTTTGTTTGCATTGATTGTTTCCATGATTTTCATTTTACTGATGATACTCAATTGAGGGTTTACCTTGGTTTAATATGGAGGTACCTGAAGTGAGTGCTCCTTGAGATGATAAACTGGGGAAAAAAAGATAGCTTACTTTTTATAGTCGCCTTTCATTTGAATAAAGGATGGTATACGATATGTTATCAGCATAGAACACACGACTTAACTTGCAGAAACAAGGCATGAAGTTGCAAATTCTTTATTTGTTCGCTTTCTAAATTTTATGTTGTTAAGCAAGAAACTTAATTGGACAGATTATGAAACTGTTTTGCACCCTGCATCAGTTAACCCATACACCTCAAATCTTGTAGGTTTATGGTTTATTTCCACCTGGTTATGCGAGGCTTTTCTGAAAAAAATTTCTTCTTCTTAATGACTTTTAGAATGGCTGATAATTGGTCGGACATAAACTTTTATTGAGATGATATCAAAATCTGCATGATAATTATTAATTTTCCTTTCAGGGAGTTTTCTTTGGAGTTCAACAGCTTCATGTTATATATGGTAAATGCATAATAGACTTTGGACTGGCAGATGCCCTGCATTTGTTCTCCTTGCCTATAGCTGTTTGTATGTGTATATCTATGCTTTATTACGTCTCAAATCAACATTGAGGACTTAAACTGATGTCTGACATGGAGTTTGAATTCTGAATTTTAAATGCTACATGCTGTGCAGCCAATATAAGGAATCACTTTTTGCCCTAACCAGTATCCTCTTCGTTTCTGACATGATTTATCGGGTTGTAAGCACAATTTTGCATGTTCTTTAGGTATTTGAAATACACATTACTTTTTTCCCCTTGGTATTTGCCAGATGTTTGGCAAAGTTTATGGAGATTTTGAAACATTTCCAGATTGAACCTGATGTGCAAAGTCCAGTATATGCCTATCTTTTTCACAGTGCAAACATACTTTTATTCATTGAACTGTAGCCTACTGAGCATTGAAAGGCCCGTGTTTAGAAATGGTGCCTGAGATGGCTACAAACTTATTTTTACTTGGTTGTCATTTTCTTCCATTGTCCTCAGTTCCTAGATTGAGGCGAGTTCAATCTTGATGTGTTATCTCTTCTGCTCATGTTTGACAACTTGGATTTTCCTATTTTGGGGGCATGTTTGAAGTTTTCTTCAGAATTGGGATCAGAAATCTGGTGTGTTGCCATCAGTGAATTTTGACATTGATGCTTATCTTTAACTCTTGGTCATGCTACGAAAGCAATTTGTCTATGACTTGTGTCTTCTAGTTTAGTTCTTGTAAATAAATCAGGTTAAGTGAAGACCCATGAAAGATGTTTCATTGTTGCTGTGTGCTTTCCGTTGCTTTTGTTTTTACTTTTAACTTTAGATCCTTCCATAACTTACAAGCTTCCTTCTGCTCATTTATTAGAGGCTTAGAGCATTCTCTTTTGGAAACAGGAAGATCAATAGCTGACTTTTTGGGTCAGTGCATTATGTCACAGTTAGTTTAAATTTGATTGAAATAATTTTACTCTAGCTTGTTTTAAACCACATTAATGTAGTATAGCAATGATGAATGATTTTTTTTATAGTGATTCTCTTTCTGAAGTTTCCCATATTTCTTACTTTAGATTGGTAGTAGTGGATGAGATGGTGTGCCTTATGAGTCATGATATATCCCTGCTACTTTCTAAATTCCTCATGCTTTGGCTCTTAACATTTCATTGGGGCCTTCTTCACTTGGTTTTTGCTGCCTAATAGCTCTGTTTTGCATTGCTAGTCATTGGATCAGAATTTTTCCAGCGAGTAACTTTGTCAAATCGAATATTCAGTTCATGCTTTCTATCACATGTTAGTGGTTTTGTTCCAATTAACATTGAATGTTTAACTTTAATTCATTAATATCTAAAAACTGTAGTTGAGGCCAGGCATCAGGCTCATAAATGCCTGATTAGGTAACTCTGCTCAAGATATTGCTTTTGGTGTGTCTTCCAGATAGATATCAGATATTAGGTCGACAACCGTAACATCTATTTTTTGCTGATTGAGTCTGGAGACAGTTAGTCACTAGTCCTTTAAAGAGTTACATGATAAAGGGGCTAACCTAAAATAGGTAAAGGCCTCGCAGAATAACATACTTCTGCCATTGTTGAACAATAATTGTGTTTAAGCCTAGTCTTGTATAATTTTGGGTTTGATTTTGCTGTGAATATGTTTGTTTGAACAATAATTGTTTGAAATTGTGTTTGAACGCTCTTCCTGCAAGTTGGATATTTAGACTTAGAACTATTCTTCCAGCATTGCTAGTTTTGTTCTCCCGGACCAATTCCTGCTTGAGCAAGAGTGCTGGAACCCCTACTTTTTTCTATATCGTTCTGGTTCTTGTTTGAAATGAGTTCTTATGATAATAACTCCAATTGTTACTTGGTATAAGGATTGGTGTAAGATTGAGTTGTTTCCTCATTGGTCACATTTAAGTCTTGAGTCTCTTCTTGTGATCTTGGTTTTCTATATGCTGATCTGCTATGCATCTTCCGGCAAGCTTCTTGGGTGTCCTGTTATTACTTCAGTGATGACACAATCCCTTGGATTGTTTTTTCTGTTTATTGTCTGTCGGTCGTGGAGTTGCAACGCCCTTGTGTAACTGATGCTGAAGGGCCTGAATTCACTGTATAATGTTGTGCTCCCTGGGTTCAAATTGAGCGTATTAGTGGTACATGACCATGTATATTCTCACCAAACCATGATCACCCTCTCGGCTTACCTTACCTCGTATTTGAACGTGTCTGACTTCATAACGTTGAACTGATGTGAAAGCAACAGTTCTGTGAAACGGATCCTGATGAATATATTGTCGTACATCAAAGATATTTCCGAGTAGGGCAAGATTTTGAGTGCAAGTGGGTCGGTTTTGTTTTCGTTTGGGAGCCACTGAAAGCATATTCTCCTGTTGGAACAGCACCGTCTTGTCCCAATCAGTATCTTAAAACGTGAAAAAACAGCGATTCTTGTGTTTGAAACACTACCAATAATGCCTTGTGACTTGTGAGAGTTCACACACACCGTCCACGTGAGTTGAGTCTTTAGGCCTTATCAAGCTAGTATGGTTTTAAGTTCAAATAGATAATTCAAATATACTTGCAAATTATTCACTGACAATTTTTATATTTGCAGCCAGATTTAAATTCATGATCCTGTGAGTTATGGATTAAATTTGCCAACTTAATCAATTTTAACTGGGGTAATGTGTTGTGGCCTGTGACTAGTGATACATTTTCTTGGGAAAATTATTCTTAAGTACCCCACAACAATTGTAATCATCCTGAAGTTTCACTAATTGCACAAATGTTTATAAGGTCATTGTGGACTTAGCTATAATTAACTTTTACTGTGAAATGACAAAAAAGCCAATGTGAGGTCCTTGGCATCCCTGACCACCATCTCATACTGGTTGTGGTAATTACAAATGCCACATGCTTTTCTTGCACACCCAACGGTAAAAAATTGAATGCTTGAGAGTTAGAGAAGGCTTCCTTGATGCTCACAAAAACTTCCCCGGCAACGATACCAAAATGTTGATGCTCACAAATATGCAATGAATTTTATAAATATACGGTTTGTAAAATAGTAGGTGATAAATCAAAGTCATTTTTATAAAGACTTAAGTTAATTAGTAGTTAGGCAATAAATTTTTCATTTTCATTTAAGTCAAGCAAAACAAGATTTAAATTTGATTTCATGAATTAAGAAATTAAAATTATGTGAATGTATTAAGATAAAAGTTACAACAACTACAAATAATCAAGGCACTGTAGGGTGGTTAATTTCTTTTTCAATTCATAGAGCATGTAATTACTCAAATAAATTCACTTAATATTAATTTGCTAATTTAGAGTATTAATAGAAATAATTATCTTTTGATTAATTACACCTCTCTCTTGAATTAATATGCTATTCTTAATATAAATATCCAAGAGGCAAAAGGGCACAAACTTACTATAATGTGATTATGTAGGTTCAATAGGTATATTTCTATTCTATTGACAAATAAAAAATAATTCTAATCTCACATTGCTTAATTTAATGGTCTAATTTAAATTTTTCTCTTTCAAGGCAAAGTCTAAATCCCAAATTCACATTTAATAATGGCCAAGTATTAAGTAGACAAATATGCTCAAGTAAATGGTTTAAACATGTTCTAATCTAAGAATCAATTCATAGCTACTTTATATTAAGAGAAAATTAACCAGACATGGCTCTAATGATAGCAAAATCAACAATATATACAGCAAAGTAAAGAGAAGAAGGAGAAGAAAAGCTTAATCAAAATAATTTTGAGTAAAATCCTTAATTTTTCATTAAATCCAAGTTTCTACAACCCTCATTTGGCTCCTTTCGCTATCCTTGGACGTTTTGCAATTGTTGGAAGTGAATAATGATTGAAAATGAAGTCCCCAAACTCTAAAAATTTGCTGAAGATTAAAAATATGCATTTTATTAAAATAACACTTTGCTGTAGTGAAAACACATTTTCGTTGCAACGAACATGACTTGTTTAGATTTTCTTTTTAAATTTACTTCTTTTAACTTGGGCTTTGAAATTTTCATCTTTAGACTCATAAATTGGGCCTCCCTATATGTATAAAACCCGAAATAAATGATATAATTGATTCACTAACTTTTAATTAGATTTCTATGCTCATTTTCACACACAATCATCCACTTATCATATTTTTGTTAAAAAATTTAAATAAATAACTTCTAATTACATTAAAAATACCAACAAATTTAATAAAATATTGAAAATCATCATTAATCAGCGGTTGGTGGTATTGTTGAAGAATTTTAATATCAAAGAAAGGGAAATTGGTTTTCGAGAATGCGATGATGGTGATAGGTTTTAGGGTGAGGAAGTTTCTAGGAATTGGTGTGGGATAATTGTGATCGGATTACAGGGAAGCTTGAAGAGATGCCACTGTATCTCAGTTTTAGGGGGAGGGAGAGGTTGAAGAATGGTGAATGTTGATGCATTCCAGGGACTTCAAGGTAAATATAATTGTTGTGGGGGACTTTGGAATGTTTTCCCAATTTTCTTTCTTTCTTTCTTTTTTGTATTTCTTTCTTTCTTTCTTTCTTTTTCTTTTTCAGAGTTTCATAGTAGATTGATGCGCTCCCATATGAAGATAATAGTTGTAAGGAGAAAGAAAATAGACAAGTACTGAATGTGAATTTAGGACAGTCAATCTATCTTAATAAAAAAGAAGAGAAAAAAATTCAGCGACCTATAAAAGATAATGTTATCAGTTAAAAATAAAAAAAATATTTTTTCTAAGGTATCATTGAAATGAATTATTATTGAATTTTTTTTAAAAAATTAAATTAGATTCTAGTTTAAAACATAATCGTTTAAGCAGAAGAGGGGAAAAAAGAATTACGTTCTTAAATTGTTCGGTCAAATTATACTTTCTTTGCCCCTACCAAATATTTTATCACACCCAAAACGTGAGTTTTTACTGAAAATCAGGCGTCTGATATTTTAATATTATATATAGAATCTCAGTTTGGTTTTGACCTCTCAAATATACAGCTAAAAAATTTGATTAAATTGTCTTCGAAGTGTGACATCATCATCATAGCCGATATTTAATTTCTTAATCAGAACAGATAAAGATGGGCAGGTATGGCGGCAGTTTTTCGACTTATATGCCTCTTTTTTTAACACTCAAAACCAACCAGAAAAAAATTCAACAGCAACGTAAGAAAATTGAAAATAAAATCGAAACGAAAACATATTTAAAAGAATGAAGAAGAATTTCATTATTACTTGTCGAGGTTCGTTTCATTAAAATAAGAAATGCAAATGAATTCGTGGTGTGATTGTCACCATCAAGAATGACACAAACAAACGCGACGAAAGGAGGAGACGTGTACGTCCTTGTCCATGAAATGAAACGCAACCACCTCAGAATGTTGCATTGCCGTTAAAGGTCGGTTTGTTATGTTTTATTAAAAAAACATAAACATATACAAATAAAGTTCAATAATGGTAAGAAATATTTAGGTAAATCGATGCACCATGTCATTTATAGTTTATTTAATTAAAATGCTCTAAATATTTAAATAAAATTTTATGTAACATTTTTTTAATTGATTTTATTTTTATAACAGAATGCACATTTGATTTTTTGCACTTTTTTATATTATTATTAATATTAAAATCAATTTATATTTAATACCATATGAATGTTATTGAATAGACTATAAATAATATGATGTACACGATCTATTTAAGTATTTCTCTTATAATTATACAAGACAAGTCGTTATGCTACAATATTATTTTAATTTTCTTTTAACTTGACAGGTAATATATATTGAAAAATATTATTAATAAAATCTTATTTTTTTAGATTGTCTTATATTTGGGGACAATAAAATTTCTTTAAAGTTATCTTATAATTTGAAATAAAGGAAGTATATTAACTGTTTATTTATTAAAGTTAATAGTTAGGTTGAGCTAATATTTATCAGGAGAATACAAAGTTAAAATTACATATAGCCGTCAGATATATCGTCGGAAGATTCCAGGCAAGCCACCCATTTGATGTGCTTTTATCAACACTTAATTTACATGCAGCTAGCTAGCTAGCATGTCGTTGGTTTTTTTATTGTCCATTAATAATTTATTAACTAATTAAAATCATTTCTAATCGGTAAGCATTATTCTGTATGACTGTAGAGATAGATATAAGATAGTGAACCAAATTGTTATTTGTCAAATGAAATTGATCACCATGCCTGTATCTGTTTAATTACACGGATCACGCATGAACGGAGAATTTTCAAATTATCCATATTATGCATCCACTGATTAATCATGCAGCTTGGGGAGGGTTTCCGAGGTTAATTGCTTCAAGGTTTTAGATTGTTTTTCTAGATTATTTTTTTTCCCCAAACAAGTTCTTGGTCTTTCTTGATCACAAGTGCTTTAAATTGTCGATCGTTAACCTATATCTAACTATCATTTTTGGTAAGGATCAGCATTTTTCTTTATGTTTATCACTTCATGTTAGGCTTTAAAGAGTTAGAATTGTTTCAGTTGATGAGAAACTTCATACTTAACCAGAAGAGTAAATTACTTTCAATATCATGTAAATTACTATCTACCTGCAATAACCAGGAGTGATTATTAATTAAAAAAAAAGATCCTTCTCTATTATTGCAAATTTTGTTTAAATGCAAAAACAATAAAGAAGTGTAATCAAATTTAGTAATAAAGCACAAATGTATATGAACAAGAACAGAACGCCAATTAAAAAAAAGTTACAACCATTATATATTTTATTTGTAGCACACAAATTTGCAATTTGTGACCTTGATGATAGACAAATATAAACACTAAAGAGGCAAAAGATTTTCACAATCAATGAACAAATAAAGAATCAATGTGTTGTATCCCTCCTGTGCATTTAGTCCTTGATCATCTGGGAAAAGACATTAAAATCCTCTACCACGAAATGGGCGATGTGGAAGTGGACGTCAAGCTGCGCAAAGTAAAAGAAATCGAACATCAAAATCCCTCGAAAACGAAGACGGTATAATCTGGGAGAACCATTCATTATCAAAACATGAGAGATCAGAGAGAGAGAGATAGATAGTTTACTCTAAGAGTTCTTTCCAGAAGGAATCGTTTATGTCATCTTCCAAGAGCTTCTCCCAATTAGCATCGTCAAAGATTGTAGGTGGAGATGATTGGGTTGACATTTCATCTGTGTTATTATTGGGGCTGCTCTCCATTTGATTGAAAGTGGTTGAATCATTCGTAGGGAGTGGGTTTTCTGCTCCCCTTATTTCATGTGATGAAATTCTGCTAGTACTATTATCAATACCCAAAACTTCTTGATCCGATGCTCCTTCTGGGTCTGTCCATGATTCTGAAACATCCTGGCGTGATTCACTAGGTGGTGGAGGAAATAGAGCAGTGCTTGCATATAATTCTTGGTCTCCCGAGAAAGACTCTTTGTTATTCGGAAGAGTGCTGTTTGCAACATTTACACTTGCTTCCATAATTGGGTTATTGGTCAAACTTTGATTACCCAAGAGTGGGAGAATACTCTGCAAGCTACTGCCATTCAATAGCTGAAACAGGTTCTGCAGGAGTTGGATTTGGGATAACTGATGAGTCAAATCCGGTTGGTGTAAACCCAGACCCTCACGGCTCCAAGGGCCCATCAAGTTATTATTAGCCATGCCTAGAAGCTGCGAGAGATTCATGAGGTGCTTCAAGTCAGTTCTTGGCTTGTGAGTTTCTGGGTCAATACCCATCCGGAGAAGCTTCTTCCTCAGATTGGTGTTCCAGAAATTCTTTATCTCATTGTCAGTCCTCCCTGGAAGATGCGTTGCAATCTTCGACCACCTAAAGCAACAACCAGTTGCAGTTTCAATTAATTTAGCAATCATATATCATTGATGTTATCCAGTTAAAAAAACACAGATATATCGAAGGAATTACTTGTTTCCAAGAACAGAATGAAGGTTGACGATCAATCGCTCCTCTTCTTCCGTGAAGTTGCCTCTCTTGATGTCTGGTCTAAGATAGTTTGTCCAGCGTAGCCTGCAGCTCTTGCCACATCTGTTGAGGCCTGCATGCTTTGGAACTGATCTCCAACTTCCACTGCCATGTTTGCTGATATATTTAAAAAGCTTCTCATCTTCTTCAGGCGTCCAAGGCCCTTTCTTCACACTAGTCTCCTCACAACATGGCGGCCTACCCATTATGCAAAGCAAGCTAGCACGATAAATGCAATTCAAACAACAAAAACCTGAAAAGATTATGTCCTCTCTGAAGATATAAAGCTAATCAGGTCCAAGAAAAGAGCTTACCAGATCTCTGGGTGAGAAATTTTGGTTTTATAAGTGCGTCTATTAGACATTTGAATTCATGTAATGATGTCATTTCTCCTCCTTTATATGCTGGACGAAACGTGAAGGAAGCAACGTTGGGTATATTTTAATACCGCGCGCTCTAAGTTCCTTGAATTTTGTTCTTTGTGGCAAATTGACAAATTCATTGTCGCTTTGACCATTGGTCAACATTGAAAGATTTTCCATACAATGAGGATATGAGATTGAAAAGTCAACCTTTTGAAGCTGCACTGAAGCCCACGGCCGCTTAAGTGCCAAAACTTCATTTGCAGAGATTTTTGAGCACTAATATGCGTGAGTGTGTAATTTTGGTAAATCTAAAAACATAATTAAGAATTCATTTTATTCTCAACTATGCTTCATTCTATACATACATACATACATACATACATACATACATATATATCTATAAATCAAGTTGGATATCTTCAAAAGGATGCATCGTGGTAGGCTATTGCTTTTACTAACACAAGAGGATGCTCCTGGTAAGAATGTTATTGGCCCGGTTTACCCATTTTATCATCAGTGTGGCAATCAACTTTGTCATTTTCTTGTTGCACGCCATTCTCAAATTCATTGGCATCAGTGGCTGCTTTCCATTATACAATTCACAATAATGCAGCTGCCTCTAACTGCTCCTCAATGTATTTATTGCTTTAGTGTTGATTACCTTTCCACCAAAAATTTCTTAGGACGCTAAAAGGTTATCTCCTTCAGAGTTTCTTACCGAATTGTCTTTTTTTTTTTGGGAACCACTGAAAGTCAAAGGAGTAGTATTATATAGATGAAGGCTCTATTTTAATATTTTATGTAACTTTACTTCTCATGGCCAAGTTTTTTTTATGTTTTTGATAATATAAGGAATAGATTCCACCAACAGCAGAAATGATCTCTCCTAAGATACATGGAGGACAAGGGTGCACCTCTCTTAACTAAATTGTTATATATATAAGAATTGAAATTCAATCTCTTAACTACTTGTTTAAGTGATGAGAACTCTTACCTCTCATACCAAATCTAATTTGCATGGCCAAGATTTATACAGTAGGAATAATCGTTTAATTAGATACCATCATTGTCCGTGGCATATGTACTGTAAATGCTGTTTGTTGGAGATTACAACTCGAAGCGACTCTTTTCAACTATGTACATAGTCTACGTAACCGAACAGAGATATTCTACAAGCGGTTTTTGCGCCTATCTTGGATGCAATCCAATTACATGGGTCTCACAAATGCAAACAGTAGTAACTTGGTCATCAATAGAGGTTGAATATGGCAGCTTAGCACATGCAACTATCCTTAAAGCATACTTACATATAAGAAATCTAACAAGATAAACATAATTATGGGTCTTAATTCTCTTTATATATTTCATTTTCGAACCAAAAAAATCAATATCCTAATTTCACTCGGAAATTTCAAGATCTTCACATTAATTGTTATTAACTGTATCTGAAGTACTAAATTATTTCTCCTTTTATTTTCTAGTTGAACTTGAACCGAAAGAATGTGAAAGTTTTGAAGGGGCCGGGGGCAAAAACGCATGTGAAAAACTATGGAGTAAAAGATTATATATGGTCAAACTAATATAAATACCTCTATAAAGATTATCTAATCAAACTAAAATTTGAAACCAGTTCGTTAATACAACCAAACATTTACCAAATTCAATATGTGGGGTTTTACTGCATATCGAGTGTTTTGACATTGCTTATTAATTATAATATTTCACGTACAGAATCTCAGTTTTGGTTTTGACCACTCTAATAACCTAGAGCTTTGATTATATTCTATGGTAAAACTGGCCGCGATTTGACATCATCAAATCATCATGACTAAAGGATTGAATATGTTAAAAGCACAATTTTTTTTTTTAAAAAGTGAAATTTAAAAGACTAGTTTATTGAAAAGAAAATTTCCCCACATTTATAAAGTATATTTATCTTGTGAGAGGTTCATTTTACTCAACCTCTTATTGGTCAAAATCTTTTATAGGTAGCCCTCTTTGTGATATTAGTCTCTTAATAAAAAACATAATGTTAATTGCAAGTACAAGTGTAAAAGAGAAAACATATCTTAGATGACTAGCCAATTGAAAGAGAGAGTTCATCACATTTATAAACCATAAACTTATCTTGTGAAACTCTTTGATATGAAATGGTGAGATATTTATTAATGGAAACAGTATCACAACATCAATTATTTCATTTGCTCTCGTTTGCGCGCTTAATTACACAACCAACCAGAAAAATAATCAACAAAGCCAAAGAAGAATGCATGGGATTATTGAAAGGAACAGATATTTCTCTGCAAGGTATTAAGATGATGAAGTGTTCTTGATAAAAAGTTATAGTGGATAGTCAATATATGCAACTCTTTCTACTTAATTGGTGCATGTGTCATGTTCTATCTGATTCTGACTTCTGATTAGGCCTCTCAGTGGCACTCTATTTATTTATTTTGGTTAAGCGGCAGATGGAATATATAAAGGTTTCATGATTAAGGATGGATATGCTGATCAGATAACCCTTGCACTACACTTCATCTTTAATTAAACATATTCTCTTTGCAGAGAGTTAATTAATCAGCTAAAGCATCCTAATTGCAGAAACCGCATAGACTGTCATGTTAGAGATTTTATTATTATTTTTTTTGGCTTCCTAAGCCTCAGAATTAGTTCTTCCTTAAATTTCGGAATTGGGGAGCGGTGAGATTATTAATTGTTTTTGGAGTACATCATGCACCTTTTTTATGAACAAATCATGCAATTTTTTGAAATCAGTTAGATTACACTTACCATATTTTTAATTAAAAATTGCACTCAATTCACTACTAGAAAAATGTAAATTAGCGAGGAAATTTAACAAGGAATCATTTATTTCTCTCTAAAATACCAAGTTAGCGAGGAAATTAGCGAGGATTGTTAATTTTGTAGCTTGATTTAAAATTAGCAAAAAAATTAGCGAGAGACTGTCAATTTCTCTCTAAAATAAGAGAATTAGTAAGGAAAATAGTTAAAAACTATTAATCCCTTTCTAAAATAAGAGAATTAGTGAGGAAAACAGCGAATACTTATCAATCCCTCTCTAAAATAAGAGAATTAGCGAGGAAAATAGCGAGGGACTGTCAATCCTCCTCTAAAATAAGATACTTAGCGAGAGATTTAGCGAGGGATTCTATCCCTAGCTAATTACTACAAAAAAATTAACTTTTGACAATGACTTTTAATTATACATTTAATTATTTTCATTTAAAAATAATAATTAAATTTAAAAATTAACTAAAATATTTATAATAAAATTATTTAATATTTTCTTTATTTTAAGTTGATTTTCATTAATAAAATAATATTTTAATAAAATATAATATAAAGAATAATTTAAATAAAATATAAATATTTTTAACATATTAATAATTGAAAATAAAATTTAATATGTATATGTGTGTATTTTCATAATATATTATTTGATATATTTATGTAGTTAAATAATATATATATACATATTTAATTTCTTATATAATGCTTGTAGGTGCCTTTCAGTTCAACTGGCAAAGAAGGAGAGCACAAAGCTTGGAAGGTATGAGATCAAGGGTTCAAACCTTAGCTTTGACGACAATTACGTGTCATGAGTTATCACACATGAGGTGGGTAATAGGGCACGAGATGGTAGGTGACATGGTGGTTGACAAAGTATGAGGTTGTTGATGACATGTCACAAGTTGACATCACACATGACGGGTGATGTGGCATAATTATTTTTAAATATAAGCGTATTTAGCGAGGGATTAGTGAAAAATTAATTCCTCACTAAAGTTATCAAATTTTGAATAGTATTAGAGAGGGGTTAGCGAGGGATTCAATCCCTAGCTAATTTTAGTCAGGGATTGAATCTCTCGCTAAATCCCTCACTAATTAGCGAGGAAAATACAATTTCTCACTAAATTTAGCGAGCCTTTTTTTAGCTATGAATTTAGCGAGAGACAAAATTCATAGATAAAATGTAATTTAGCTATGAAAAATGACATTTAGCGAGGGATTCATATCTCAGTAAATTCTATTTTTCTAGTAGTGATTTTCTTTTCTCTTTTGCAGAAATTAAGTTGACTCCTTTTGAAGAAAATAAATTGAAGAGAAAATTTTTGCAGGACAAATCACACTTTTGAAAATATATCGTATGAAAGTTAATCAAAATGTCTCATGATTGTCTAGCATATAATTTGCTCTTCTTTTATCATTTCAAAGAAATAAATCTAAAAGGTACATTTGTTGTTGAATATAAGGAGGATCGAATGAGCATTTTTCGAAGACAACAAAGAGAGGAACTTCGTTTGTTTGTTTGTTTGTTTTGTTTTTGTTTTTTTTTGCACGGGATAATAAACTAGAGGAACTTTGATGAATGGTTTTAGGCGAGGGGCAAAGCTACAAAAAAAGAATTTGCTGTAACCTGCTAATTAAGAGAGGTCTGGTTGGTCTTCTATTTTAATTTGTGGGTCGTAGTATATCTGTGAAAATTGGAGATCCGAGCTCATCAATGTCACTGGCTTACTGCTATGTTATTTTAAATATATATTATATAAATTGAAAGTTTTCCATGTTTTAGATTCCTCATATTTATAAATTTAGCTTCATATCTGTAATTTGACACATACATTTGAGACATAAATGCCTTGTGACGCAAAAGAAAAAAACATAAATACCTTCATGTGCCTTGACATTATCATTTTATATTTTTTGAACGACAAAGAACGATCTGTCCTGCTTTGTTTAGCGAAATAAAGATTAATACGTACACAACTACTCCTAATTTTGTTTGGTTAAGAATAAAGCAATAGAAATAAACTTATATAGTATCAAGATAAACTAGCTCAAATGAAGTCATTAATGCACTAGAAACGGCGGACGATAAGGTTAATTTCACAAACGAAGAGAGATGGAAAAAAATTTCTTCCCTGTCATTACACAAGACATGTGGAGTCTCAAAAAACAATGAGCAAAAAATAACATCATATCTAGTATTATTATATCTTAAAAGGAACAACAAACTGAACATTTGCAACAATCACACATCCATATAACTCGTATTAGGTACAACCAATGAATCTAAACAATAAAACGCAAAAGAATTATTTGTAATGAATGAATGTATCGATCAATAATGAATGTTTTATTATACCCTTTGTGTGTATGTTCCTTGATCATCTGGAAAGACATTAAATTCCTCTACCACGAAATCTGCGACGCAGAAGTGGACGTCAAACTGAAAAACAAAAGAAAACAAACATTATGATCCCTCAAGAGCGAATACCATAAACTGCGATAAGAGCATGGATCCTATGAGAATATATATATATATATATGTATAGACCCAATAGAGGTGAACCTTTTATTTTCCAGAGAGAGAGCGCTTACTTGAAAAGTTCTCTCCAATAGGAATCGTCACTCGGATCATCTTCCAAGAGTTTCTCCCAAGCATCAAAGACTGTGGATGACTGCAGGTCGGACATTTCATCAGTATTGGATCTCTCCATTTGGTTGAAGTTGGCTGAACCAGTTGCAGGACATGGATTTTCAGCTTGATTCGTTTCATGTGATGAAGAAGTTCTTCTATCGCTACTATTGGTATCAACAAAAGCTTCTTGATTTGATGCTCCTTCCGGGTTTGTCCATGATTCTGAAATATCCTGGCGTGAGTCACTTGGAGCTGAAGGAAATAAATCTGGGCTTGCGCATAATTCATGGCCTCTCAAGAGAGCCTCTTTGTTGTTGGGGAGAGTGAGAGTGCTATTTGAACCATTTATACATGCTTCCAGAGGGTTGTTGCCCAAAAGTGGGAGAATAATCTGCATGTTACTGCCATTCATAAGCTGCAACAGATTCTGCAGCAGTTGGATTTGGGATAACTGATGAGTCAAATCATGTAGTTGTAAACCTAGACCAGCGTGGCTCCCAGGGCTCGTCAAGTTATTGTTATTAGCTATGCCAAGCAACTGCGAGAGATTCATGAGATGCTTCAAGTCAGTTCTTGGCTTGTGAGTTTCTGGGTCAATACCCATCTGAAGAAGCTTCTTTCTTATACTGGTGTTCCAGAAATTCTTTATCTCGTTGTCAGTCCTCCCTGGAAGATGCGTTGCAATCTTCGACCACCTACAACAATCAGTTGAAGTTTCAATTAAGCAATCATATATCATTAATGTTGGCCATCTTAAAAAACACACACACACACGTATATCTAATGAATTACTTGTTTCCAAGAACAGAATGAAGGTTGATGATCAATCGCTCCTCTTCTTCAGTGAATTTGCCTCTCTTGATGTCAGGCCTGAGATAGTTTGTCCAGCGTAGCCTGCAGCTCTTGCCGCATCTGTTGAGGCCCGCATGCTTTGGAACTGATTTCCAATTTCCGCTGCCATGTTTGCTGATATAATCAATAAGCTTCTCATCTTCTTCAGGCGTCCATGGCCCTCTCTTCATACCAGTCTCCTCACAACAACACGGTGGCCTAACCATAATGAAAAGCTAGCTAGCACAATAAATGCAATTAAAAAAAAAAAAACTGCAAAAGATGTCCTCTGCTGCTCAGAAGAGATAAAACTGAGGTTGTGGAAAAAAGCTTACCATGTGTCTGGTGAGGCATGTGGTTTTATAAGTGCGTCTATAAGAACTCTAAATTCATGTATAAGGTCATTTCCCCCCCTTTTTTCTGTTTGACGAACCATGAAGGAAGCAACTAGATAATATTATACTTCAAATATTTGAATGCGTAGCTCTCTGAATTCCATGGATATAATTTTGTTCTTTGTGGGGAAATTTATTGTCGCTTTGACCCGTTGGTCAACATCTTGAAAGATTTTCGGTATGACAGAGAATTAGAGATACAAGATTGAAAAGTCAGCCTTCGAAGTATCACTGAAGCCTATGGACGTTTAGGGTTGGCTATAATAAACATTGGAAACTTCTAGCATGGAAAACCATATCGAGTAACCTTTAATTTGCCGTGTCAAAGAATAGTTTATTACCATATAATTAAATTAGTCACATTTAAGGTTAATTTGGATAAGAGAAACTATTTTATCTGATTTGATTTCAACATCGCATTAATTCAGCTCATCCGGCTCTTGCATTAATTATTTAGTATTGGTATTCTTAACCATCGACAAATTTTAGAGTAACATGTAAAATTTGGAAAAATCTAAAACATATCAATATAGCTATCTTGTTGATCAATATACTCCCTCAATCCCAAAATATAGCTAGGTTTTTTCTCAAAGATATTCATTTCCTAAGATATTAGTCCTTGTTAATATTATATATGATATTAAATTATCAGTTTTTCCAATTTACCCTTGCCTAAATTTTTTTTGAAAATGTGTAGCCTCTTGGAAAATTTAATAATTAAAAGTAGTTTTGGAAAGTATATATAATAATTTTTGACAAATTTAATAAATTAACTTCTATTTCATTTCCTTGTTTTGTGCTCATATAGATAAACTAGACTTATTTTTTAAGATTGAGAAGTACGTATATAATAAAAATTATGGCAAATCACACTATTGCCACAAATTTCAAGCGGTGTTTCATTAGTTAGCTCTATATGTAATATACACAGAAAACCGTGTCTGAGGTTTATTATTTATCTTCAAAAGGTTGAACAATTCTAGGTCGTCATTGATTTTAATGAACCTAGCTAGGAGGATGCATATGGTTCTAGTTCTGAATAATGGTTACCCATTTTGTCATCATCAGTGTGGCAATCAACTTTGTCATTTTCTTCTTATGCGCCATTCTCAAACACGTAGCTTGGCATATTAATGGCTGCTTTTCATTATATAATTCTCAATATGCAGCTGACTCTAACTGCTCCTTAATGTTGATTACCTTCTCCCCGAAATTCATTCAAATTTCTTAGCACGCCAAAAGGTTGCCTCCTCCTGAGTTTCCTACCGAATGTTTTTGGAACCATTCTTATTCAACAGAAAAATATTATAATAACTTTTTTCTGCAGATTAATTGTAATACTGATTAGTCATTGGACATAAAATAGGCTAGAAATGAAATATAATTTTGAGTTTTTTTTTAAAGGTAGTGATGGAAGCGACAACTCTTTCAATTGAGTGATCTGTGTAACTTGAAAAGGATAAATATGATTATAGGCTCTACCTATTAAACGTAACTCATCATTAAATTTATTTCTATTCATTTTGCATACCCTGCGCCAATGAAAAGAACTAAAATTGAACTATATTGGGTTCCATCGTGACGCGAATGAATGAATGAATTCTTTATGTCGTATCTCTTTACTACTCTTAATTCTCTGCTTTTTATCATCACACCTCTGTGCGAAGTTCTATTTCATTTTAGAACAAAAAATAAAAGTCCTGTTTCACTTGGAGTTGGAGGTTTCAAGATTTTCAACATTCATTGTATCTGCGTTACAGTGTTTTTCATTTTATTATCTAGTTCAACCAAAAGGATGAAAGAGGGAAATCTAGATAATAGTAAAAGATTATCCGGTCAAACTAATTAATAATAATAATACCTGAAAGGATTATATAGTCGAACTAACATTTGTAATCCCCATAGTTCATTAATTAATTACTACAACCAAACATTTACCAAATGAATTTTCAACATGTGAACTTTTACTATATAGTGTTTGACATTTTAATATTTTATAGAATCTCAGTTTAGTTTTGACCTGACCAAGATATAATTTTTCAACTATAACGTGTGTGTGTGTGTGTGTGAAAATGGCGAGATATATGTGGAAGAAGCAGGTTTTTTTTTTTCCGACTTCTTACCTCATTTTCTCTCATTATTAGAACATATATAAAACAAGCCTCACATTTAAATATTAAAAAACAGATTATAAATATATAATCTTAGAAATTATCTAATCAATTAATAATTTAAACTATTTTGGTGAAATAATATACTATTTATAAGTATACTTAATATAACAAATCTATTATGATATCATGAGTCATTCAATTGGGGATTAAAAAAAGAAAAAAAAAAGAAACAATGAAAGATGAAAAAAATTAAAAACAAAAATCAACAAGAAACAAAAAAAGAATGAGAGAAGGAGAAAAAAATGAAAAAAAAAAAAGACTTGAGACCTCTGAGATTAAAAAAAGGCACAAGCTCAAGAAAAAAAAATAAGAGAAAAAAGTAGTAGAGAGAATGTTAAAACATAAAAAAAGTCCTACATGTAAAGATTAAAAAATAAATTATAAATATATAAACTTATGAAGTATTTAACCAAATGACTTAAATTATGTTGATGAAATATATTATCTTTAAGCATATTTAATATAAGAAATATAATACTCATTACTTTTTGCGCTTAATTAGACAACTAACCACAAAAATGCTAATCAACAAAACGAAAAAAGCATGGAAATATTAAAAGGACCAAATAATATATTTCTGTACTATTGGTGTCCATGATGAAAAGCTTACAATCCGGTTACCATTAGATCAAAAGCTACAGAAGATAGCTTATGCTCAAGTCTTTCTAGTTAATCATATTGGTCTAAGTGTCATGGTTCGATTTGATTCTATAATTAACCTCTCACTAGACATGATGATGAACTGTGATGTTTTCTCCCCTTTTATTTGTTTAGGTTGCGTTACAGAATAAATTGATAAATTGCACCCAAAGACTAAGACAAATCCGATTTAGCACGCTGTTTAGGAAATAAGTTAACCATTTTGAAGAATGAGCAGAAAATTTATGCAACAGTACAAATAAAACTTCAGAAAATATCACTGCGTAAATTCGAAACAAGAAGGTTATCAGGTGAAATTTTAACCAAATCTCATCATAGTCTCATAATAATTTACTCTTTTTTTAATCATTTTAATGAAATAAAGCAAAAGGTACATTTATTGAAATTTTATAAGCACATTTTCGAAGAATATATATAAGGTGATCTGATGAACCTTTTTCCCGTTTGGCAATAAAATAGTTAAGGAACACAACCACAAGGAAATAGTTAAGTTCCATTAATCCATTTGCAGTAACATGAGAAGATATGTGTCTTGTTGCTCTTCTACTTGGTGGGTGGTTACGTTCCCCAATATAATTCTGTTGGGTTTGAAATCTGATTTCTTATTGTTTTGTTATTCTAAACATATACTCTGTACAAATTACAATATAAGTCATTTTTTAAAAATTTTAATTGATATAAAATATAGAACATTTGGTAGATGTTATGCATAAATATATATGTATATATATTTTTCAATTATACTGTTACTTTATTAAGTAATTAATGAGGGTGTTTTGAATAAATTAAATGTTATATATTTATACTTAAAGGCATGAGTGAAAAAATGTGAAATCTTTTTAAAAATCAAGATTTTAACAATTTTTTATAAAGCTGTAAGTTAGTTAACAAAAGTATATATTGAAATTTTTTCAAGTTATCGATCTAGATTTCTTATATTTATAATTAGCTTAATTCCTATCTGTAAAGTGAGTAGTGACACTTACAAATTAAATGCCTTCATGCTTGCGCCTTAACATTATTATTTAATTTCCATTTTCGAACAATAGACGAACTCTCGCTCGTTTGCTTAGCGAAGTAAAGATTAACACTCTGATCTTAATTTTGGTTTATTGTAAGAATAAAGCAATAGAACGGATAGATTTATTGTCAGAATAAACTATTCCAATATGAAATCCGTACTGTTCTAGAAAAGGAGGATAAGGTTAATTTCACATGAATACGTAGAGAGATGAAATTGAAAAGGTTTTTCCACTGTCATTAGACATGCTTAGTGCCAAAGAAAAAATAGAATCAAATTTGATAAAGTAGAATTATATTTCTTAAAAGGAACAGCAAACTAAACAATTTGCAACAATCACACATGGATACCTCGTATTAGCTATTAGGTATACAACAGACGAATCCAAACAATATAACCAAACAAAAATTATTTGTAATGGATGAATGAATGAATAATTAATGTTTTATTGTATCCCTTGTGCGTGTGTGTATTCCTTGATCATCTGGAAAGACATTAAAATCCTCTACCACGAAATGGGCGAATTGGAAGACGTCAATCTGCAAAATAACAAAAAGAAAACAAACATTTAATCCCTCAATAACCAAAATCATAAGCAGCTGTAAGAACATGGAGCCTACGAGCATATATAGATCTAACAGAAGTGAATCTTTTATGCACAAAAAAACGAAACAAACAAGCGCGCGCGCGCACAGGCTTACTCTAAAAGTTCTTTCCAGTAGGAATCACTTGTATCGTCTTCCAAGAGTTTTTCCCAAGCATCAAAGACTGTGGATGGTGATGAACGCATATTGGACATTTCATCAGTATTAGAGCAATCCATTTGGTTGAAATTGCCTGAACAAGTTGCAGGAAATGGATTTTCAGCAGCCTGTAGATTCATTTCATGTGATGAAGTTCTACTAATACTATTGTTAATACCCAAAACTTCTTGATCCAATGCTCCTCCTGGGTCTGTCCATGATTCTGAAATATCCTGGCGTGATTCACTTGGTGCTGGTGGAAATAGAGCAGTGCTCGCATATAATTCTTGGTCTCCCGAGAAACACTCTTGGTTATTGGGAAGAGTGCTGTTTGCACCATTTATACTTGCTTCCATAATTGGGTTATTGATCAAACTTTGATTACCCAAGAGTGGGAGAATACTCTGCATGTTACTGCCATTCATGAATTGAAACAGGTTCTGCAGGAGTTGGATTTGGGCTAAGTGATGAGTTAAATCTGGTTGGTGTAAACCCAGACCTGCAAGGCTCCAAGGGCTCTGCGAGACATTCATGAGATGCTTCAAGTCAGTTCTTGGCTTGTGAGTTTCTGGGTCAATACCCATCCGGAGAAGCTTCTTCCTCAGATTGGTGTTCCAGAAATTCTTTATCTCATTGTCAGTCCTCCCTGGAAGATGCATTGCAATATTCGACCACCTACAGCAACAACCAGTTGCAGTTTCAATTAATTAAGCAATGATATATCATTAATGTTACCCAATTAAGAAAACACAGATATATCGAATGAATTACTTGTTCCCAAGAACCGAATGGAGGTTGATGATCAATCGCTCCTCTTCTCCAGTGAATTTTCCTCTCTTGATGTCTGGTCTAAGATAGTTTGTCCAGCGTAGCCTGCAGCTCTTGCCGCATCTGTTGAGGCCCGCATGCTTTGGAACTGATCTCCAACTTCCACTGCCATGTTTACTGATATAAGCGATAAGCTTCTCATCTTCTTCAGGCGTCCATGGCCCTCTCTTCACACCGGTCTCCTCACAACATGGTGGCCTACCCATTATTATTCAAAGCTAATCTGCGCAACAAATGTTCTGACACCAAGATACGTGATATCTCCTCTCTCTAGAGAAAATTTAGGTATAAGATGACACCAACGCTTAACAGGTTTAGGTATAAGAGATGTTTGTAGTTTTATAGGTGCTTGGGAACATCTAAATTCAAGTAATGATGTCATCATAATCAGTTTTTTTTTTTTTTTAATGTATAGTATATTGACCATGCATTATATTTAAAATGCCAAACCCTAGCTAGGCAATGCGAAGGAACCAACCTGGGGATAATTGAAAATGAAACTAACCGGCATAGATAGATTTATCAATAGGTGTTTTCCCTCATAATTTATAATAACAAAGACAAAAATCTTGTAATCTAAATGAAAATTCCATTTAGTGGTCAAAGAACTGTGGCTTTGACCTGCTGGTCAATAAAATTGAAAGATTTTCGATACATTCGAGAGTTGAGACTGCGCAGTGTTTGAAACCCCATGAACGTCCACAGGGAACGATATATGCTTCCCATGTGTTTATATACGGTGCAGAAATTTTTCATTCCCGTTGATAAAATAAGAAAAGAATACTTTTCCCTGTTTGGACGGAAGGAAATATGAGTATTATAACCATTATGATATTTACATATTTTCTTTTCTCTCTGTTTTCTCTACTTTCAATTTCTTTTCTCTTAAGTTTTCTTTCTATCAAAAAGGAGGGTTCATTCCTTGAAATTATTAATATATATATATATATATGGGGATTAATATGATATAATGAAAAATCCTAAAACTATCGGAACATTGAAGAAAACTATAACATAAAGCTTGGAATGATAAGAGAAAAGGCTTTATATTTCCTTGGTTCAATATTATAATATATAATTTATATCACCAATATATTTTTTTCTAATTTATATCACCAATAAGTTACATTTAAAACTACACATTCTTTTCATATTTAATCCTATTTAATAGGTTACCTCTATTAAAAAACTATGTTAATTATATCTTGAAATACTTAAAATATATATTATTTTTTAAATAAATGTTTTAAAAAAAGTGTCTTGTAATACTGAGCATAATAAGTACATCCGCACATACATATATATTTTCTCTTAACCATAATATAAGACATCTTTTAAAAGTTTTGTATTTATAATTTTGTTTTCAACTTTGCCCTTTTTCATTTATTGCCTTTGAAAAAAATGATATCTAGAGTATATAATAAAATTATGATTCAACAGATGTAAAATTTACCTAATTTTTTTAGAATGGTGAAGTAATTAACAATACCTTATATTATGGCGTGGTCTAGAGAGAGTCTGTGAATATTATATGGCCCCATACTATCTTATGTATGGTAATATGGTAATGCAAGTTTGCCATTTTTTTTTATTGTGGCCATTATTTTCAAATTCATTTGTTACAATCAAATGGCTGCTTTCTTTCGCAAATAGTTCTTTCTCAATAACTAATGCATCACTCTCCAACTGCTCCTCATTTCACAGTTATATGTATTGATAACCTTTTTTGCACAAAATAATAATAATAATTGAAATTTCTAGGAACGCCAAGAGACTGCCTTCTCTCCGGAGTTCCATACCAAATTTTCTTGGAGCCATTCAGATTTCGGAGTCAAGAGATTAATATTATTAATTAACATTTTTAATAATCTTTAATAGAAGAATACAATAGTTAAAATTGTTCGTGTCACGTTGTCGTCACTGCTTATATCGCCATCATGTTAATCGGTGATATAGCGTATGATAAAACACGAAATTGCACTTTTTTGGGATTTTTTCTTTTGATTAACTGGGAAAAAAATTATTGGAATTAGCAATTATCTTAACTTATTGTTTGGTGTAAACCTTAATCAATTTTGGTTTTGAATGACTATCTGGTGTATATATTTGTAAAGGTAAAGAAATTAAACAAAACTAGTGGCAACATGAGACTAATCATTAAACTAGAAGAGGTGAAATAAAAGAATTATAATATTGATATATTCATTATTTTCACTGCAAATGAATTATTTTAAAAAAATCAGAAATAGATAGGATTCGATGACTAAAAATGAATCCCTTATACACTAGCAAAATATAGAACTTTTTAGTACATTTTCTTTTATTCTTTCTTTTTAAAAATACACAAGTAAAAACAGGATTAAATAACATTAATTAATATATCAAGTGATGCTTGGATTCAATTAGTCAAATGAGTTGAATCAACTTATCTCCAAAAAATTTGTTATTGGATAAAAGGCATCCCAATAATCATCACTTGCAGTTGTTTGTAAAATCATTTGCCTTTATGAGAGAGCTTCTCCCAAAGACATCTTCGAAACACTCATAAGGTTGTTGTTGGAATAACAATCTCACGTAGTAGGGGATTTGGATTGGTTCGGACAAGAAGTAATAATACTCCCAAATTTTTCAAGATTGGTGATGGAATGAAAAATAACATTAATTAATAGTAGTGTGTATGTCTACAGTTACTCCAAATAATCTGATGATGACATAGAAAAGGATTCATTACGGATCTATACATCTATATTAAACGATTATATAATACAATAAAATATTTATATTTCTATAATAAAATGCATGTAAAATATATATAATATATATATGTATATGTATATGTATATGTCTATATTTTCTCATCAGTTAAAATAAAAGAAATCTGCCTCTCTTTATCCCTTTCCTCAACAACAAGAACAATGCATGATAATGACAGAATAACAATAACAATAACGATTATAATAATAATAACAAGAAGAAGAACTTAGAGAGAAAAACAAACATGAAGGAAGGTGGTAACGTGTGCCATTATCTAATTCTCTTCAAGAGGTTGATTTTCATACTTTATAATTGATAGTTGTATATTTTAAATTTAAAATACGTATACCTATATATAAGAAACCTTTTTTAACAACTATATATATGTATTATTTTTATTCAATTATTTAATTAATTGCCAAGGTTGACCTAAAATTATCATAACTTAACCAGATAACTTTCTCGATTTACCAACTAACACGAGCCTTTAACCTTTTTTTTTTTCGTGGGAAAAGAGTACTTCTTAATACAAATATTGTTGAAATGCATTGAAAAACTATCGGAGAAATAAACTTTTTTGCACAAAACCTTGTAAAAAAATACTTGATCGATGTCAATTTTGAATTTTCTATGTCTATATATAATATATATAATTATAACATAAAATATGTAAACAAATCATATAATATTATTTATACCTTATATATTATGTAAAGTATAGAACTCACGTGCACAGTGTAAAATTGAACTTTTCACCAATCATTAGTTGTAAATACAACTCATTTCTTAAACTTCATGCAATATATATTATCTTTATCAGATATAGTTTAAAAATACATGTTATGTGTATCATACAACAGGTTCTTTAATTTACTGGACATCATATATATATATATATATATATAATTTCTCGAACTCAATGTAATATTGCAAGATCTCTACTGTGTGTGTGTGTATATATATATTTGAAGCTACTTTGGAAGACACCCCATCTTCTATTGCTATAAATTAATGTTTCGATTATTTATATATGCTCGATTTTTTTTTTTTTTGGCCTAATATAGATGCTTGGTTGACTGAGTGGGGAAGAACAAGAACATTGGAACACGTTACTTGTAGTTAGTTATAACATGCCAACTATATTTATTTATATTTATCAAATAATTAGGTTGAAGACATTCAATAAATCAACGAAATAAAAAATGCTCCCGGCTCTCTGACCAAAGTAATCAAGTAATAAAACACTAATTTACTCCGAAAAAGTATGGCCTCATAGTTTAGACTACATATGCTCGTGGACTATGTTTGTGTAGTTAAAAAAAAAAAGGAATAAAAAATAATTAGTAAAGAGGTTATGAAATAATGATACTCATTTTATTTTTGAGCTAGTTTGGGTCAGCGTTATATAGAGTCTAAGAAATGAATTATGATATGATGGTTTACTAGATTTTTTTACATATTATATATATATATATATAGTAATAAAAATGGCATCAATGTTTGCATTTCAATTAGTTTCAAGAAGAGTCTAGGACATTCTGTAGTTGAGGATCGGAGAATATAAAACTACTTTACAGGTGTGGTCAGTCTAATTATTTGTTATAATCCTCATATATAGTATAATATATACTACAACCAACATTTACCAAACTCAAAAACGTGGGTTTTATTTAGTGAAAATCAAACGTTTGACATTTCAGAATTTCATAGAATCATATCACACCTCACCTTGGCACGGTTTTGACCTCTCAAGCTAAGCTTTCATTAAACTGTCTTTAAAGTGGAAGTGAGACATCGTGGAATTTTTTTCAACTTGTTATCTCATTTTCTTTCACATTTAACATCCCAACCTAGAAAAATATAATATAAGAGGAAGTTAAAGGGAAGGAAGATGCATGCAGCTACTATTCAAAGGACAATGGTTTGAAAATATTTAAAAACCATATACTAATTAATCCACGAGAAAGTGAATTCGTGATGCTAATGTTTGACTCTTCCTACAACAACAACTTGGAGAACAAACATACATGATTAAAAATGAAGAACTTCACCTAAATGTGTGTATATATATATACTACACTTAATTATGCACCAAACAGAACTTTATTTACCAAAGTCCCACGCCGTGTTCTTTATTTCATATTATCTTTTAGATTCACAAAAATACATGCATATATTGTTTACTACTTCCTCCTTTTAAATTATAAGACACTTTGAAGGAGTTTATCTGTTCTAAAGTATAATATATTTTGAGTATATTAAAGTTTTATTAAATGCACTAATTTTAATATTATCTTTTCTCTCTCTATAATTAATTTCCATCACTTCTTTTTTCAATATACTTCTTTTGTCTCAAATTATAAGATATTTTTAAATAAAATTTTACGTACCAATAAAGTTCATTAATACACTTTACAATTTTTTTTTCAAAATAAAAATATAAACTTTTAAAAATGCCCTTCATTTAATACTCAATTAATAAAAGAATATTGAAGAGAGAAAATATATGAAAATGGTAATAATGAAAAAAT